GCAAATCTGATGGCTTGAAAAGCAGGAATACCAAGCCCACCTTTAATTTTCGGTTTACACGTATTAGCCCAAGAAACCATATGAAGTTTCCTAGCTTCGAAATTCCCAAAGAATAGAAACTTGGCAGAAAATTTGGCAAGATGCTTAAGACAAGTTTTAGGTATTATAGCCCCGCGAATCCAATAAGCTATGGTATTCCAAATAGTAAATCTCAAAAATTGAAGCATTCTTTCAAAATATAGAGACTTAGCTTTCCAACCAGAAAGCTTATTAGTAATAGTGTCCAGAAGCGTGGAGAAATGGGAGATAAGAATTCTTTTTATGGAAATTGGGATGCCCAAATAAGTGATATAAGTACATGTATTATGAATGTGAAGAGTGTCACATATCTCATTGGTATTAGAGGGGATCCCTTGAAGGATAAGAGCACTCTTATCAGGATTAATGATGAGACCAGAGGACTTGGAAAATTTAGAAAGGATATCATTCAGCGTCTGACTATTCGACATAGTGGCCTCCCCAAAAATCAGGACATCATCCGCATAAAGAAGATGGGAGATCTTAAAGCCATTAATTTCAACCGGCTTGAAAGAATGACTGTCAATAGAGTTATCTAAAAAACTTGAGAGAGCATCCATAGCAATACAGAATAAGTAAAGGCTTAAGGGCCAGCCCTGACGCAGCCCGACAGAAGAAGGAAAATACCCTTCTAGTTGACCGTCCATGCAAATAAAAAAATTCACATTAGTAATACAAGCTTTAACCCAATTAATGAATAAAGTAGGAATACCCTTCTGAGCCATTCTTTGCAGTAGGAATTCTCTAGAAAGATAATCAAAAGCCTTCTTGATATCCAACTTAGCTCACATGTAAGGGACTTTAATACATTTCTTGAATACCTTAAAATTTCAGAAGCTAAAATGACATTATCCGTAGCAACCCGATGCTTAATAAACCCAGCCTGTGCCGTGTGAATGATGAGAGGCATAATGCTTTTTAGCCTATTAGCCAGAATTTTAGAGATGATTTTATATAAGGTATTACATAACGAGATGGGCCTAAAATCTGAAATAGAATTAACATGGGAATTTTTGGGAATTAAGAAAATCACCGTAGCTTTCACCCCCGACGGAATATAACCTTTAATAAAAAAAGATTGCACAACAGAGCAAAGAGAGGGGCCAAGGATATGCCAAACCGACTTGTAAAAGTGGAAGTTAAACCCATTAGGACCGGGTGAAGAGGAGGAAGCCTCAAAGAAGATGGCTCCCTTAATTTCCTATTCAGAAATGGGAAAATCAGGGTGGAAAGCACAGAGGGAGAAGCAGTTCTGCCAACCGGGAAAAATGCAATTTGAGGGAGAGTGTGACTAGCCGTGGGATTTAACTGATCATGGAAATGATCAATGACTTTTTTCTTAGCACAATTTGAATTCCCAAAATTATCACACATAACATTTTGAAGAGCAGCACTATTAAAGGATTTCCTCATACGGATTTTGGAGTAAAGAAATTTGAGGTCATCTTCCCCATCTTTAAGCTATTTTTCTTTCTCTCTTTGAGAAACCCAAGAAGTACAGGAAGAAGTTAAATCAGCAATATCCCCATTGGTAACCTTCAAAGCAACATTAAGGTTAGGATTAGAAGGATCATGATCCAGTAAATTCAAGATGGACTGTTGCTTATCCTGAAGGTTGTAAAGTGCAGATTGAATGGCATTAGCAGAAGCCCATTCTCTAGTTTTGATAGAAGCTTTGAGCTTCCTAAGCTTATTAGAGAAATCCAACAGTGGATTCCCTCTAATGGGCTCCAAAATGTGTCAAGTAAAATTCCCCAATAATCATCTCTAGAAGTCCAGTAATTTTTGAAAAGAAATTGTTTGCTGCTGTTGTTTAAATCACCATTCTTGAGAACTATAGGGCTGTGATCATAACAAAAAGGTTTATCCACAAAGTAATAAGAAAGTGGGTAATTCCCAATCCAGGATTCATTCACAAGAGCCCTATCAAGCTTGATATGAATAGCATTCTCTGTTTGCTGGTTAAACCATGTGTAGAAAAGTCTAGTAGAGGAGAGATCGATGAGATGATTGTCAAAAATGAAGGAATTAAAATCCCCCAACCGGCTGAAATGGATCGGATTTCCCCTAGACTTATCATTTTGATACCTACAACAATTAAAATCTCCCAAACTAATCCACGGAATATCAGAGGAGGGTGAATTAGAACAGAGTTGTTGCCACAACAATAACCTGTCACCCATCGAATTGGATCCATAGACAGCACTAAGAAAAAAAAAAAGAGTTAGTCGCTCCAAAATAAACAAAACCACAAATAAGCTGAGAAGAGAAGAATGTGGGGGTAAATGTGATGCGATCCCCGGCCCACTTTATCCAAATCCTCCCAGAAGAAGTGAGATTGAAGTTATTACAACTAACTTCAGAATCAAAAACCGAGAGAGTAGCAATAAACCAAGGATCATCCATAGAGCTGGAATGAATCATATTTTCCATAATGCAAATCAAATCCAGTTTATGAGCTTTGATGAGATGCTTACAAGCATTAACTTTGCTAGGGTTATTAAATCCCCTAATGTTCCACGTTGCGATAGAAGGAAGGGTCATTGAGATTTGGAGTTGGAAGTTTGAGGCTTCTTATGCTTGCCTCGGGTATTTTTGGCTGAGGATGAGGGAGGGGGTTGTATTATGCTGTGAATTTTTGTTTTAGGAGGAAAGGGATCCTCTATCGCCTTATTCACATGAGTGTCCAGAACCTTGTCTGAATTGGTAGAGCAAGCATCATTTTGGATGTCTGATAGCGCATCAAACTTGTTGGGAGAGACAATGTTCTCTTTGTGGTTTTGGGATGTGTCTGGGTTAATGGAGCTGATGACTGATTCATTGGTAGGAAAGTTGAGGTTAGGTATAGGGTCAATTTGTGTTGGAGGAGGTTTTGAAGAGGAGGTTTGGTCAGCTGCAGAATGCAGTTGAGAAGATTTCGAGGGAGATGAGGAGGAGGGGATGTCGGCTGAGAGAGCTTTGGCTGGTGGCTCTTTGGGACTAGTAATAGGCTTGTGGTTTTGCTGGGGAGGCAATTGCTTAATGCGTCCAATCGGATTAGAACTTCTATCCCTGGTGTTATGAGGAGCGCAGGAGGAGCTTCTTCCTCTAAAAATAACAACTTTCTTTGAATTTTCCCCAGTAGAGTTTGTAGGATTGGTGGGACATGTAGCAGAAGAATGAAAGAGGGATTCACAAGTCTCACACAGGGAAGGCCTCCATTCATATTGAATGTTGACCTTCATGACTTCATCCTCTATAAAAATAGGTATAAAATCAGGGTATCTGGTCTTGCTGTTAACCTGAATGCAAACGTGAGCGTAAGTCAATCTCATTTTCTGGGCAGTGAGAGCGTCAACCGCGAGGGGAATTCCAATTTTACTAGAAATACGCGAAATGCCTTCAGAATTCCAGACACACAGCGGAAGGTCAAGAAGCTTAACCCAAATAGGAACAGAAGTGAAATTCTCTTTTTGTGGCTTAAACCTAGAATGCCATTTTTGGAGGATGAATGGCCGACCTAGGAGAAATCACATCCCACCATTCCACACCATTTCGTAGTCCATGGGAGAGGAAAACATAATAAGGAAGAGACCATCGCTCAAGTTAAAGAGTTGGATAGTACCTTGAAGCTTCCAAGTTTTCCTAAGAGCAGCAAGTAGAGCCTCATAGTAAGGCCTTCTGCCAACGGAAAAACCTACCAGGGAAAGATTCCACTCTTCAGCAGCTGCATCAGTTTTAGTTTGCTGAAAAATGAGCACTTCGTTCGGGTCTTCCTGAAAAGCCACTGGAAGATTTTTAGACGACAAACAGTCAGGTGTAACAATGTTCGTCCAGCTCCGAGTAGGAGGGAGAAACGCTGGATGAGCAGTAGCAGGGAGAGAGGAGAGAGGAGGAAAGTCTTGCTCAAGGAGAGGGGATCCCATGGTGGAGGGAACCCCCCACGGAGGACGGAAAAAGGCGGCAAGGCAAGGCGGCAAGAGAAAGCTCTACAAAACCCTAGCAGAGCTCCATACACTCTCCCGTGGCCTCTTTTCGTGTCACTTTAGGCTTTGACAAATAATTTAGAATTAAAATTTTTTTATGAATTATAAGTAATTATGTGTCAAAAAATTCCACAATTTATTTTTTTCATAATTCTATTAAAATTATATATTTTTTATAATGTATAATTTTATTTTTATTTAAAATTTATCTTTTTTAAAAGAAAATAACATTTTAAATAATCTTATTATTATTCTGAATTAGATTTAAATAAAAATACTAAAAAATTACTGAATAAAAAATTACATAATATTTACAAATCTTCTTCAGAATTATATTATTTAATAATTTTTTTATAGTATACTTCTTTAAATCTAATTCAGAATTATCATAAATATTTAATTAAAATATTATTTTCTTTAAAACAAGATGAATTTAAATCAATAAAATGTATTATGGAAAAAAATTCTGAAAAAATGTACGTTTAAAAAAACTATGACAAATTAAATTGTCAAATTTTTTCACACAAAATAACTCATAAAAAATTTATTCTAATTTGATTGTTACAAAAAATAAGAAAAATTTATTTACACTTAAAGTTCTAATAAAAACAAAATAAAAAAATTGGCAAACAATAAAAATTAGTTTTTAAAAAATATATTTGCTTTCTCCCTCCCTCTTCTCTCTCCTGCTTTATTCTAACTATAACATTTAAAATTTGATTTTTAAAAATATGATTTATTTTATTTGATCTATAATCTCAAATATATTTAAAAAAGGCTAAGCTCATAGAATAACGCTGGTTGGTAGTTGGAGATGGCCACAAATTACCAAAGTCACCAATTTGTGGAGTCCGCCAATTGAAATTTGACGAGTTCTCTGAATGACCTCATATCAACCCTTAAAACTTTTGCTTTCTCAAATTAAAGCTTCATTTTTTGAGAGCTCTGAGCTTCTTCATGGAGCTGTTTCATTTCAACTTCACTGTCTTGCTTCTGTTGCTTCTCTTTTTGGAGATTTTCTTGATCATCTGCGATGCTGCTGGCCGATGCCTTGAAGAAGAGAACTCAACACTTCTGCAGCTAAAGAGAGGTTTTATGATTGGAGATTTAGAGACATGGCAGCCAGGAACAGACTGTTGCATCTGGGAGGGCGTGACATGTGATGAATATGGAAGGATCATTGTCCTCAACCTAAGGTTTCGATTCATCATCGGTACAATCGATCCTAGCCTATTCAATCTCACATCATTAGACACTCTCAATCTTGCCTACAATAATTTTGATGGAATTGCTATTCCGGACCAAGGGTGGGATAGGCTTGTTAATCTTTCAAGCCTTGATCTTTCTTATGCTGGATTTGTTGGGAAGGTTCCTACTAGTATCTCTCGCTTGAAAAAATTGAATTTCCTCGACCTCTCTTGCACTTTAAAGAATTCTCTAGCTATTAATCCGATGATTTTACAAAATATGAGCAGTCTAAAGGAGCTTCATCTTGACAATGTAAATGTCTCATCATATCGGTATGAATGGTGTGGTGTTCTGGTCAATTCCACCCCTGTACTTGAGGTGTTGAGCATGAATAGATGCTCCCTCTTCGGTACCATTTGTTCCTCTCTACCCATGCTCCATTTTTTATCCTTTATCGATTTTGGACATAATAATTTAGACTCTAATATCCCTGATTCATTTGCCAATTTTTCATCCTTATCTAAACTTTTCCTACAAGGTAACAATTTCAAAGGGTTTTTTCCTACGAAAATCTTTAAACTGAGAAATTTGAAAGTTCTTGACATCTCATATAATCCATTGCTTTCCGTTCATTTTCTTGATTTTCCAGAGTATAGTAATTTAAATTCTTTGTCAACTTCTAATACCAATTTCTCAGGCAATTTACCTGATGCAATAGGCAAGTTCAAGTTTTTAGCATATTTAGACCTCTCATGTTGTCAATTCTATGGTACAATTCCAGCTTCGATTTGGAATCTATTAGGGCTAATGTTCTTGGATTTATCACATAACAATTTCAATGGAGTTGTGGGGTTTGAGTTCCCCTCCAATACCATTTCACAATCTCATTTATTTTGGCTTTCTCTTGCAAATAATAACCTTATTGGAGAAATCGCACCATTCATATGCAGCTTAACCAGACTCAAGATGCTTGATTTATCTAAAAACAAGCTAAATGGTACTATTCCATCATGTTTGCTAGAAGATGGAATTGATCTTCGTGTGTTAAATCTTGAAGGAAATCAACTTCATGGAGCCATACCTCATGGAATTAGTCAAAAATGTAAGCTGAAAATAATAAATATGAGAGATAACCAATTAGAGGGATTGCTTCCCAGGTCTCTATCTAATTGTCGATCACTTAAAGTTTTGGACTTGGGGAATAACAACATGAAGGACACATTTCCTTATTGGTTAGGAAATATGTCTTATCTAAGTATCCTTGTTCTAAGATATAATAAGTTCTATGGGTTAATTGGACCTCCTGGTGGAAGCTATAAAACAAGTTATGCTTTTCCTATGATGTATGTATTTGACATCTCTTCAAATAACTTTAGTGGAAATTTAGATGCAAAGTGCTTCAGCAGTTTTAGGAGAATGATGATTAATGAGATAATTATAAACCCAATTGGTTATACATATATGGTCACCACCATGATTAAGGGGCAACTAATGACTTTAGAAAATTATTATGCAATTTTAATAGATTTTTCCAATAATCATTTTGAAGGAGAGATCCCTTCAATTATTGGGCAACTTGTCTCTCTCCAAGTACTAAACTTGTCACAAAACAATTTGTCTGGTGAAATTCCTCCAGAATTAGGAAATTTGGTACATCTCGAGTCATTAGATCTTTCAAGGAATTACCTTTCTGGTAAAATTCCTCAGAAATTTGTTTCTTTACATTTTTTGTCATATTTAAACCTCTCCTACAACAAGTTGGTTGGAATAGTTCC